CCCGTTATTATACAGCCGGAGGTCAGAAGAGTTTCCTTGAAAAATCCCTCGGACCAAACTTTATTACTGGGATGGCTATGTATCATCCCTGTGTTATATTATTTAATGTTGTTAGGCAAAGTTAAATAACTGAAACGCACTGTATATTTTAAAAATATTAAAATACATTTACAACCCCTAAATGAAGTCTTTTGTTCTTACAAACTGTCTGTTTCCGAATTGTCGGCGTAAATAAAGGGCTCATTTGACAATTCGTGGCACCGAACATGATTTACGGACCACCATGGCACGTTCCTGATATATTGTTTTGTTCGCCCTAGATCTCACAGGATAATGGTGCAAACGTGTGAACAAATAGATAGCGGTTTCGAATAGATGTCCAGGAACACTGTAAAGCATGATTTATTTTTTAAAACGCATTTACATTGTAAAGCTTCACTTAAAATGTTTAAACAAGAATTAAATTATGAAAAGAACGAGAAAAAATGAATTTATTTTATCGCTGGGTATAAATTGAAGGCGTCAATTTGTCTTCATGAATAATGAAAAATCATAATTATCAAATTGACATTCATTTAAATTATGTTGAAAAATTTGAGAGATAACAGATAATTGAATTCCTCAAACAATAGATAAATTATAATGAAAGTAATACTAGGACGTGTATTGATAGCGATTGTTCATAAAGACAATTTTTAGACACTTTGACTCTGAATTGTTCAAAATCGAGTTTACTGTCTTCACTAGCGTTAATGATCGATTTCGTGAGGAATAGATGCTCTTTTATGATGATGAGATGAATACTTAGTATTATTCAGTTATTATGAGCTAACTAACAAACTAGGCCATTAAGGAACCCTGAACAAATACCGTGGTAAGTTTGTGCAATGATTGTTAATTGTGAGACAACATTCCGCCCACCACAGTTTGTCAAGTACATTTTAAATCTTAGTTTTGGTTTACACTTCTTTTTTTAATATATTGATAAAATGGGAAAAAATAGGAAAATACATAGTAGCAGTTCTGGGTTCGAATTCTCATATAGCCTAATGAAAAAAGTAGTTAAAGGTTGTTTGATCTCTCGGCCTTACCAGAAATTCTTTGCTTTTTACATGTTTTTAGTTTAGCATTTGAAAAATATTGAGTGAATTATTTGTTATTTCAAGTTTTTTGAAAAAATTTGTTTTAAAAAACATCAGCTCTCCGAGGATTGACCTTCACTGTTGGGAACCCTCGTTTGAAAAAAACACACAAAAAATTATTTTCTGCTTGTTCTTTTAAATATATAGACCGAGAGAAATATCCACATATTCTCATTTGGTAATTTGATAATTTGGTCGTTACCGATCATCCTGGCACCGCCTATCCTTGCTGTGCTTTTATGTCAGACTGGCTTTTCGGCATTTCACCATCTTAAACATTGGGTCTCTGCGATTTTTAGAAGTTAAACCTCTATTATATGGTGGGCTCAGGGGTGTGTGTGTATGTTTGTGTCAACGTTGCCCTTTTTTGTCGGTGTTTAGTTTCGGTAAGTATTCGAATCGTCAGGCAACTTTCCCTTTTCAATTATTCTGGTGTTTTGAAATGTTATATGTGAGTTATTGTTATTTTGAGTGTTTATGAATTTTTTAAGTGTTAAATGTGTTGTTTTTATATTTCCAATTTTCCAAGATTTGTTTTACATCATTTCACCGATATCGTCACCTTGTCTAAATATGCATCGATCGTAAGGGAATTAAAAAAAAAAAAATAAAACAGTGAATCCCCAGAACATTTAAAAACAATCAAAATCAACAGCGAACAAGTTACATCAGAGTTCATAAAAATTTGACCTAGATGTACCGAAGTGGTACAGAATGAGACAAGTTTTCCAATAGATAAGGTCCAAGTGCTGGCGCCCTTTAAGACAATATTATTGTAAATTTAAATTTAATTTGTTTTTAATTTTTATTCTAAAGGTTGCTTCTTTTGAAAAACCTTGAAATTATTATGTTTTGTTGTTAAGAACAGTTAAAACCAGATTTATTTTTGTATATATTTCGATGCAGCCTTGCTTCCACTTCTGAATACAAAATCTACTTAAAACATAATTTAATGAGTACTGTTGTCTTGTTATTTATAGTAAAAATTAATTTCAATTAATTAATCTTTATGTAAGGTATTGGTTGAAATGAATAGTTAGCGTCACGAGCAGGATTCGAACCCACGATATTCGCTAAATACGCCGCTGTTCTACCACTTGAGCTATCGTCACCTCGATCCACTCGGACACTAACTTCCCATCTCAACCTACCTTTCGAATTTTCCCCGCGACAAATGTGATAGAGCAGCGGCGTATTTAGGTTCGAATCCTGCTCGTGACGCTAACTTTTTAATTTCAACCAATACCTTACATAAAAATTAATTAAGTGAACGAAGTTATTTGGTAAATCGGACCTCGACATATAATCGGGGTAAACATTAACGATGATACTATTAAAGAGTTAATTTCTTAAAAAATTCGAATTAATTAAAAAATATATTTTTTTGTTAAAAATAATATTAGAAAACTTTAAAAGAAAATCCAGATCACCTATTTTTACAATATTTTAAGTGCGCCTATTATTGACAGCTAATTGGACTGCTATGTCAGTGAGTAGGTTTTCCTGTATGATCCTTATAAAATAAACTTACTATATATTTTATAAAAAAAGAAAACTGGTACTAATTTTCTTAAAAACAAAAAAGTAACCTTCAAGATATTGCATATTTATTAAGTGAAACATATTCTCTAGGTTTTTTAAATGATTTTCGTCGTATTTTTACAATAACATAGAACATTTGTAAACATTAATTCTTTTAGTGACGTCAGATCACTAAAATAATGAAATACACAAAAATTGTTCCTTCAACCATTACACAGATTTAAAAGTTATGTTCAGTTGCATCGGAAATAAAAGTGTGAAAGTCTTTTATGCGTAAACGGTTCGACCTACCCCAATCAGAGCGGAACCGCACATTCACCCCCGGGGGCGACCCTTGTTTATGACGGTCATTACCTAGACTGGGGACACTTGTAATTACCTTGGAGCATTGACGCCGGCGGACATGAACTAAACTGCCGTCTACACTGCATTTAGTACCTACTTACTTATCCCACAAAGATGTCCATAAAGCCTATCCAATTCGTAATTTTTCCAGTTCGGCCTGTTTGAATCGAATATGATAATAAGCATATGTATAGGTTTAGCATAAACATTGAGGTGCTTGGTGCAATTACATAATGCATGGCATGAAGTGGGTTTTTATAATTTGTATTTGATACTGGTGATGGAATTTATTTGTATTGTTTGACATCCGGGAAGTAGGTTTTTCAAAATATATTACTCTTTGGCAATGTGTTGGATTATATCTATCTACTGTTCAGAAGGTCTATATATATTTTTTTTAAAGATACTAACTTATACTAGTTCAGCCTTCAAGTTCAAATTTCTGTCGTGTTTTTTATGATTATTTTCAGATTTGGTACATTGAATATTAAAAATTTATAATAAACAGTTTAAAAAAAACTGCCAAAACGGAATCCAATTTTTAAGAAGAAATAACCAACCTTAATAATGTTTCTTACCCCTAAATTAGTAGTAGATGGAGAAACATTAATGTGTTAAACGTAAAATGTTATAAAACTAAAAATCATAAAAAAGTTATTACTGGGTTGATCAAAAATATTTTTTTGTTAAGAAATTGTTTCTTGTAATAACCTGCAATATTACTCATAAAATCATGATGTCATGATTCCGATATTACAACATGCACGTAATTTCAGTGTTTATTATTTCTTGAACTTTTCTGATTTTATTGTATCACGTTCAACATATAAATTGTTATATTTTTCTTATCCTCATAAAGATTTTATTTAAAAAATTATATCGCAAACGGAAGCATTTGTGAATTATGGAATGGTGAATTATGTTTTTTAATTTTTCTATTTTTTAAAATCATAGTTTTGTTAACGGAAAATATTAATAAAGTCATAATATAACAATTTCTGTTGTCCCTCTTTAAATATATTGCCATACAAATAGCAAGCAAACATAAATATGATTTTTTGTCGGTTCATAGCCTGTAGTTCATACTCTCAAGGATGATATGATTTTGGGTTGAAATATGCAAAATGTTCTCATACAAAAGTGCACAAAACTGATTTTCCGTGGGGACTGCTGTAGTCGATTGGTTTTGTGTCATGGTCGTGAGTTCAATTCCCACAGTTGTCCAAGAATTTCCGACGCCTCCCATTATTCTGTTCATGGTCCTCTGGCTAATATGTAAAAACATAAGGCTATGAGAAAAGTTTTAATTTAATTGGTAGCCGTTTGAATGTAAATAGCAAGACGAATTTTGTTTTTACTCTATGCTGTAAACAGTAATTTGGCATCCGTTAAAAAAGTAAAGTAATTCCTGTCACATTATTACAAATTCCCGTTGGCTGTCGAGGACGAAGGTTCAAACCAATTGACCATACTTTTCTCCATTAAAAATCCCTGGGATAGACGACCAAAACACTAAACAACTGCCGTTCAACTTTTTTTTTTAAGTATATATCGGCATCCAAAGTTATTTAAATGAACTTAATTTTTTCTCGTTGTCAAGAAGATTTCAAACTAATAATTTAGCCTCATTTTTTATAAATAAATGTCATTATATTCAGTAACTACAGTTATGTTTCTTTCTATTTCATTATTCAATAATCCCATATTATATTTTTGATCAACCCAATATTTTTGAGTAAAAAAAACCCTGTAACATTCATCGAAGGTATGAAAATATGTTGTACTGCTATATTATTTGGAGTAATCTATTTATTGCAAAACATGACGAAAATAAATTTTTAAAGCCCCAAGAAAAAAAATGCTTTTAGGATTTTATCAGGACCTTCTGGGCAGTATAGCCGTCCCACTTAATCTGATTATGTAAAATAAGTCGTCAAGCACTAACAATGTTTTATTTTCTTTTTTTTTCAGAGTCTCACTGATCCGGCTAGTCGTGAGGAGTTAGCAATTTGGTATGGTCTCGCTCATTCGGGGGCTAATCGTCCCTATGCTTTAACCGTTCGTTTTGTCAAATAAAATTAAAATCAAATATTTATACAAAAGAAAAAACCCATACACACTCACACACACACACACACACACACACACGAGCGCGTCCTGCCCCAACTACCCCAAAGATTCTCAGTAATTAAGAGGACTGAATGGAGAGCAAACGAGCGTTTGAAACACGATTGAAATACTGAGTTTAAAAAATTGTGAAATTTATAAATGGCGACCATATTTTCTTATAAGTGTTTTCCAAAAAGTTACAAAATAAAAAAAAGTATATGTACATTTTATGTATTGATATTTGAGGTAATAAGTATGTTTATATTATAAATTATATATATTTAAAACAAAAAAAATGAAAAGAGGTATAATGTTTAGGAAATTTAGTGCCATTTTTTTGGTATTTGTACATAATTAAAATTATAACAAGTTGTTTTGTTCTTTTTTTTACTTTGTAAATAAAAATTTAATTGCCAAAAAAGTGCAATATTTCTATTAAGTAAACTTAGGATAACGAGGCAAAGGTTATTTTAAAAAGGCTTTCCTTACCTGAACGGATTAGTTCAAATCTCTGAGCCAAAATCCCCTTGTCTCATTTGGAAACGATATACGTAAAAAATTGTATTTAGTCCTGATGTGAAAATATATATTATTATTAATTATTATAAATACTATTGAGGATATTTAACTAAGATTATTCAGAAATGTCATTTAGTGTTTAAAAGTCATTAACATTGATTAACCATGCCATGTGAGATCTCTGTTTCGTAGAAACCGCGTAGAGAACCTTAGATTTAGTCTTATAGAAACAAACACAAAAATCTGCATATTATTGCGATGACGTGTAGTTATGACAAACAAATTAAACGCATTGATAATTGGCTGAATATACGAAAAAAAATTCAAAAATAGAATATATAGAATCAAGATATTTTGTTGTGTAAAAATTTGTTATCAAATTGTGAAAATGGATAAACAAAGTCAATTTATTTTGTCAAATATTTTTCTGTATAAACGTATTGTGATAGTTGTTGTTTTGTTTTGATTTTTGATTTTATTTGTTTTAATTAAATGTTTATCACATCGAACATATAACGAACGGCATTGGGACTTAATTTTTTGTGTAATATTTAATTTTTATACATTTCTTTATATCTTAATTTCTCATTGACTTGACCCAAATGTCGGCGCACTGTGAACCTGACGCAATAACACAACCATATCCAATTTTAGAGAAATGATATTATTATATCTAACAACCAATACCGTCCACGGGTATACTATTCTTGATTAAGTCTAACGATTTTTATGGTAACACTTCTAACATATTCTCTCTAACTGTTTTATATTGGGTGTTTTATACGTTCCTAATTCATATGGTATACTGAAAAAGAAATATCTTCGATGTTTATAACCCGATTGTGGACAAGTTCCTGTTGGTATTTCATGCTAACTGGGAGGAATCCCCAAATAATTGTCTTTGAAAACAAAGCTCCAATATGAAAATATGTATTCTTATTTTAAATTTTGTTAATGCTTTTTCAATGTTGCTCAAACAAATATATTGTAAAGATTATAATTAAAAAATAAAATAAAAAAGATGTGTATACCATATATTAAAAATATGTAGTAGAACCTTGCATAAATATAATAGTTACGTACTTGATATCCTATTGTGTGCGTGTTCAGTGTGTACTGTAATTTATTTTAAATAAATTTAAATATTGTATTATGTTTTTTAAATTATTTATCCTAAATCCTTTCAGTATACTTTAACGTCTGTTGAGATGTCCTTCAATGAAAGGTGTAGTTGCAGTTGAGTTGTGTGAAATATTTCTTAAAAACAAAATAGTCAATTTCATTAATAAAAATGGGATCAAAATGGAAAATTGTGACAACACAACTTTTTATCCCGTTGGTATAACGTGGCAAAAATGATTCCATTTGCGCTGTTTCAATCACTATATCAGCTTTATATTATAGAAAAGGTATATAATTCTATATATTATTATTCACTTAATAATATATGCATATATCATATGTATTTACAACAGAGAAGAGGTAATAAATTATCAAAAGTCCTACACAGTGAAAGAAGATCCAGGAGTGAAGAAAAAATTGAACATTATTGCTAATAACTGAGCACAAAATGGTAAATTCCGTCAAAGGCATGCCAAATTGCATTAACTAAAAAATTTTTAAAAAACTTTTATTTTTTAAATCAACGCATACTACAACTGCCGATAGAGTAACAATTAACGATTTTAGGGTAAATTAACCACAAAATATAAGCCAATGTTATAAATAGTGGATAACAACCCACTAGTAGCGAAAGTGGGGATTCGAACCCAGAACCACAATGATGGTACACATGAGTCGACCATCCTAACCACTCGCCCATCGCGGTCCCCGAAAATGGATTAAAATGTAAATAATATAAAGTAACACGAAGGTTCATATTTCTTTGCTGATCCACCTACCAAATTACAATCAAACGAGAGAATAAATTAATTGTGACATTATACAAACTTAATGTCCGAGGTTTTGAGTTTTAGGGGTACAGCGACTGTTTTTCAGACCAAAAAAAGGCATTTTTAAACATTTTAACCGGTCGAAGAGATTGCAAGCTTTAAAAGTGGTTCAAAGAAATTGTTGAAAGTTGCGAATCAAGTGTTTTGGTCTAAATTCCTGCATAAACTTGCAACTTCCAATCTCTTAAGCTCTTGAAGACTCGTGTTTTGTGTGAATTCGGCGTAAGAAAAAGTTTCCCAAATAAAAAATCATATATCAACATCCACCTTCAAGAGGAATCCGTCTGTATAAATCGACGGCAAATTCGAGTCCGATCAGAAAATCACTTCTGCTGACAAGTTGTGTTTTCACTTTTAGGTACACTTGTCTCTAAAATCCGTCATCATGTCGAAATAATCACATAATCGTAGGGAGCTGAGTTTTTCAAACACTCAGGATTGGAGACATTTTTTGTAACAAATGGTGTACAAGTGAGTTAGAAATTGTTGACAAAAATTAACGAGTGGCTATTTTTAACAAACCTAGCTTCGAAGTCGTTGTATAGTAAGTAAAGTAAGACAAAAAATATTTATTCTAATAGACTAGATTTAGAGAAACTGATTTCTATAAAGGCAACTTTTTCAGTTCTCTTTGAAAAATTAAGTGACTTCGAAAAATTGCTGAAATGCGGTAAAATGTTAGCGATTGATTCTTATACAGAAAGAACCGATTATTTTGAAAAATATAGTGTATCAAAAATTAAAATCCATCAGGTAGAAGTGGAATTAAACAAAAACAATAGGAAATAAATCTGTTCATACGACAAACGGTTATTGCCCCCGCATCGTAAATCTAACAAAATGTAATTTTGGGCTAATCCAAATTCTAGTAGATGTTTCTAGGGAAGAATACTATGAAGCTTGAACAATGACAATGGCCGACCAAAAATATTTTGTCCTGAGTTAAAAAGTCTATTTGCGATAAGCGATTCCTTGGAGTTAAGGGAGCCTCCGAGGGGGTGAGAAGGGTTGATAAGGGCGCAGGGCTGGAGGCCCTCACAGAGTCCTGAAGGATTAGGGCGCCCACGTCGCCCGGTTGAATAATGGGCCACCGAAGCTCCTGTATTGCTTAATCCACCCGGGGATTTAGCTCCGGACGTTGATGTACGGCCTCCAGATATTCCAGGGGCTTAGACAACGGCCGGGACTCTAGCGCTACTACCGAAAGGGGGTGGATTTTGCCTTCTATTCTGAGAAACCTTGGGTAAATTTAAAATAAAATGTTGGAATATATTGTTTAATTTGCTTGTTGAAAATGAGATTGTACCAATGACGACTAAAACGACGATCAGCGAATTCAAATACAGCAAACAATTGAATAACTGTATTGATTTATAACAATAAATCAAAGTAAATCCAACAGATCAACTTTCTATTTGTAATTTGATTTCTAAACCTTCAATTCACGCAAAAATCTCAGAACATTATTATCAGGTTTCTTTTTCATTTTTTTCCCATTTCGAGTCTTAGGGTTTTTCTGAACCCAAAAAAAATTTATGTTTTTTAATATAAAACAACCACATAGAAAAAGTCTATTTATGTATGAATCTACAAACTAAAAATGTAAAAAAGATACTTTAAAAAATCCATAATACAAACTGAAAATTATAAATATTTATCTATTTACTTAAAACACAGTGCAAGTCAGGTAATTGCAAACAGGTCTTTACATCATTTATGCTGGTTATCCCATTGTTAATAAAATTAGATGACAGCGGGAGAGTGTGGAATTGAGAGGTGTTGTGATAAAATTAGAAGTTACGACACTGCTGTCCAGTATAAAACGAATACATATTGTCTTTTGACTCGCTTAATTATGAAACAGACACTTGATTTCTCTTATTAGAATTCAACGCCAATCAGGACTGAGCCCATTAATCTTACCACTCGATAACAAGGGATCGGAATGAATCACCCGCTGATTGAGTCGTCATAACTCAAGTCAAACCTTTGTATGTAAATCCCAGCGCGAAGGCGAGAGAGCCATGAGGATGATACTCCAGACTAAGGAGAAAAAGTACAAAAAATGAAAGAAACGAATTGGCATTCAGGTTTTACACCCTGTCATCACTTATATCTTGGTGCGATTCCCCCGAGGATATATAAATATAGGTGGGAGATAGTACGGTTAAGCCGTCGGGGGAGGTCTTCCCTAAGCTAGACATAGGGGTGGTTGTGAAGAATATCCTAATACGTCGCCAATATGGCTCCTGGAGAGGACGTGATCTCGCATACACAACTATCTGGCACCCTCTCAGCCACTTACTCAATTGCTTTTGCTTAGCCTCTGAACCCTCCCTGGGACATATCCGCCCTATACTTCGATGGTAATTTCTACATTGTAGTAGACAATCTAGACATTTTTTTCCCGGGGCGAAAGTTTCGTCGGGTCTGATGAATTTTTGCCGTCACCGAAAATGATAGGTTATTTTGGCGACACACGTCAACGAAATATTGTATTATTTAAATACTTACTTCTGTCATGTTAATTTAAAAAAAGAAAAAAGAAAACAAATGACTATCATTTGTGGAGCCGTGTATTGACGGCTGAAGGGATGGATCATTTAGCTAAATTTTATTCACAAAACCTACATTATCCTAAATTTTAGGTATTGTTATTTTTCATTTTTTGTTATTATATTCTGTAGACGGAGACAATAAAAACACAATTTTATGAAAATATTTATTATTTACGTGTAACGAACCCTTTCAACCTTTACTGTTCTAAGTGAACCTGGACACACGTTAATTTCAAACAGCTTAATAGTGGGAGCGGGCAGTACCCCAAAGTCGATCTAAGTAAATCAGTAATAAAAAAATATAAAATTGTGTTTAAGCTGCTTTGCAATATAAAAAATAATAAGATTAAAAAAATTCATTAGTTCACTCAGAGGCTAGAATATTCCACTTTGCAATCACAAAGCCTGCTTTCATACTCAAAAGAGTACTCTTCTTGCAATATTAAGTCGACAGAATTAAATTAATAAAGGAGGCTTATTCGTACGCTTATTCTTTCGAAGGTATGAGTTGTATGTTGCAGATGGATAAGGTTGGATGAGCGGGTCTCAGGAGTGAAATGTGCGGAGTTGAATTGAGAGGGAATTTTTATGGGCCCATTCGTTGATGGATTTCAGGTCTTTTTGGACCTTGAGAGTGGCCGAGTGAAGATCGGAAGGATGGAAGGATATGTATATTTGGGAGTCATCGGCATATAGGTGATAGTTACAGGACTGGATGGAGTCGGGGAGATCAATAATATAAATGGAAAAAAGGATAGGAGAGATGCTAGATCCTTGGGACACCCCAGAATTTAGAGGGAGGAAGGAGGAGATAAGGCCATTGGGAAGGGATTATTATTACTATTTAGATAATTAATAGAAAAAACATACACTTATCTATCTACCCATGCCCAGAGTTGAAGTTTATGTCAAATCGTTCCTTGTACGGCGGCTCATATCGGAAAGAAGCGTCCAAAATAAAACAAATATGTTGCCACCGATCACTTGGGCTGCTGTTATTTATCAACCATCTAGCGTTTTGTAATCTGTAAGACAAGCATAATTGGTAACGATAGATGTGTTTTTTTTCCAATTATTGAATGTATTGGTTAGTTACTGGTTTCTCGAGCTTTATATTAATGGAAAGAGTTATTGTTAATGAGTACGGAACTTGAGTCTGATCTTCTTATTGATCGTAGTGCATATTCTTGCTGGTTTTATTTATCAGATCCAGACCCACGTTATGAGATAGCAAAGTGAATATTTATATAACCATTCCAAAGATCAAAATATGCTGTATTCCATCATGTTTTCTTATAGCTTAATTTTATGTAAAAATAACAATCAGTTTATTTTTAATTATAATATTAAAATATTAAGTAATAAAATTTTGATTATAGAGAAAGTATATTTGCTATAAGAGATAAAATAATGAAAAGATAAATATTCGATTCTTACTTTTTAAAGGATAGTTCCTACTCACAGTAAGTTGTTTGGAACGTCCGGATTTCGAACCTTTTAGCTCATCATCAGGTTGAAGGACTTCTACAACCACGTCTCTCGACATGAATTGCCAAAGTGGTACATGGACATGAAATGCCAATATAGATGATCCAAAAACTGTAGGATCACACTAACCCACATGT